ACTCGCAGGATAGACGCGATACACTGAAAGACTAGACAGCTGATTTGATCGTGACCTACTACATAACTTAAGTTCGTGTAACGTCTCAACCTTCGACAGTTCGTTGTTATGGTATCTTTTTTACTTATTATCTCACTGTTATATTATATTTCTATGTAAAGAGAATGATACACACCTACAGAGTAAACAAAGAGGGCAGAAACATAAGAAACAAAATGGCTAGATAAAGCAGAAAGAGAACAGGTATTGTAGCGATGTCATTTGGTATCATTATTCGATTAACTTGATAGATATTCGACTCAACTCGTAAAGAGTTTGCAAACGACCAAATGACTAAACAAGCAGTAACAGCCCACAGCTCAGAGCCTGCATCCCCCACAGCCCCCAGCCCACAAAGCCCAACAGTCCCAACAGTCCATACAGCTCACAGCCTACACAGCCCCAACAGCTCATAGCCCACAGCTCAGAGCCTGCATCACCAACAGCCCCACAGCCTCCAGCCCCCAGCCCACAAAGCCCAACAGTCCCCACAGTCCACACAGCTCACAGCCTGCAACCCCAACAGCCCATAACCCACAGCTCATAGCCCATTCTTCTTGAAGAAGAATGCCTATACTGCCAGAGGACTATTTAAGAAAGAACCGACAGTAGCAAACACAAACCGAGGGTAAATTTGCTGAATTGGCAGGGCAACGAATTGCCCATCGATCTTGTCTAATCTAAAGCAGTAATACTGAACGAAACTGCCCGGTGTCGGTCGCCAAGTGATGTCCATGCAGACCTCTGTGTCACAACCCAAAGGCCGCATTTGTATCCACATTGGCTCATTCGTGTTTATTTGTTATGATTTGTTTCACGACAGTCCACAGCGTCTAAACACAGCATGGTCAGTGAATAACAGGAAATGATGTGGAAAGAAGTAATTTGGTGTATCTGGAGAGACTGAGGAAGACAACAAAAATATATTCAGGATAGGTGTCTCGGGGTCGAAATTTAAATCCTGGAATTTCCAGAATGTGAAAGGAGGTGCTAGTCGCCCAATTTTGGGTGCTGCCTCGGCATTTACTTCGAGACACTGAGAGGAGCGGCGTGAATTCAGTCAGGAGAGTCCGCGATTCGAGTACAAGTCAGCTTTCAGATGTTGAGAAATGCGTAAGTGGTAACAAGTGAAATTTAAATTACTCTTAGGAGACCTAAACCTAGGTGACAAGAAATACTGAAGTGGATCTTGAAGAAATATGACACAGATTGGATTCATCTGGCTCATGATAGGGTTCAATGGTCGAATTTTATGAATGCAATGAATCTTTGTGGTTCATAAAAGACGAGGAAATTCTTGGCCAGATGAGCAACTGTCGTTTTCTTAATTAGGAGCCCATTCTATGGCGATATTACGTATTGTGAGTTTACGTTTGAAAACAATACCAGAAAATTCTTATACTCAAAAACAGAAAACACACTAGTGAAATTAATGTATATAAAAAGGTATAGTCTCTTCTATGTACAAAGTGTAGTATAGTAGAAGACACTGGAGGCAGTCTGTTCCTCGGAAACGTCGGAGAATTTCTAGAGAACTACACAGCGTTACGTCCCAGAAGACAGGGCTCTCCATAGTTACAGCCAGTTTTTGCTGACATGTAACTAATTTGTGTTTTGTGAAAAGCTAGGAAGCCGAGGTGCCTATCCGCTTGCGCAGCGCACAGCAGCGGCCCACAGCAGCCATCACAGAATGCGCCGGGTGGAAGTGACAAGTGATCCACTTAACATGATAGATTGTTATGCTTTTCAATGGCGTACAAATTTCCGTCAAGTAAATATCAACAGAAATTCGTTCTGAAGTGGCCTCAATTTGGTCCTCGTTATTCTAAGCTGCTTTATTTTGCAGTGGACTGAATTTAGCCCCCTCAGTTAAATCTGCTTTCTTCTACAGCAGCCTGAATTTAGTCCCTTTCACTCAAAACTACCTCCTTCTACAGTGGACTGAATTTAGTCTCCCTCAACTAAATCTGCTTTCTTCTACAGCAGCCTGAATTTAGTCCCTTTCACTCAAAACTACCTCCTTCTACAGTGGACTGAATTTAGTCTCCCTCAACTAAATCTGCTTTCTTCTACAGCAGCCTGAATTTAGTCCCTTTCACTCAAAACTACCTCCTTCTACAGTGGACTGAATTTAGTCTCCCTCAACTAAAGCTACTTTCTTCTATAGCAGCCTGAATTTAGTCCCTTTCACTCAAAACTACTTTCTTTGACAGCAGTCTGAATTTAGTAACTTTTAATAAAAATTACTCTCTTCTAGAGTGGACTGAATCTAGTCCCCCTCAACTAATTTTACTTTCTTTTACAGCGGTCTGAATATATTCCCTTTCAATAAAAATCACTTTCTTTTACAGCAGTCTGAATTTTTTCCACGTCAATCAAAATTACTTCCTTCTACAGTTGATTGAATTTAAACGCATTCGCCCTAAGCTGCCTGTTCGAGCGTTCTCCTATGCCAGACACTCGAATTCGTCTGCGGAGTCTGCATTTATTTAATTTGTTGAAGTTTCTCCTGTATACAGAAAGCTGTGCATTGTTGCAGTCTGAGACATCTGTAGTGACATGTTTGATCTTCTAATCACAATCCTCTTCTTTTGTACGGGGGGGAATGGATGTCAATTGTCCGTATGCGTGTAGAATCCGCCTTCTTCAGTGAATTTCCACGTAGTGTGCTGTCTTCCAGGACGTAATGACGTGTAGTTTGGTATTACTTCAAGTACATTTCGGAGGATCCTACTGCCTCCATCTTCAGGTCGAAGAGTAAGCGAAGCAACTGGCAAGATTGAATCATCAAGCAGGCCTTTCTCTGCTCACTTGGCTTACTCTTCTAACCTAAAAAATGGAGGCAGTAATATCTTACGAAACGTCGGCAAATTTCTATGGTTATGCTTGTTTCTTGTTGGCGTCTTTGTCTTACTCTTCGATCTTGAGGATGGAGGGAGTAAGCTCCTCCGAAAAGTCTCTAAGCTTCTACCGGATTACACGGCGTCACCTTTCAGAAATCAGTACAGTTCATAACTACCACTTTGACAACCTCAAATCCAAGCGTATTGAGTTGTATCTTTAAGTTCGACATCCCTGTCAACTGGATGCCTCTGTGGTCTAGTGGTCAGAGTTCCTGCCTACAGATCCAGAGGTCCCGGGTTCGATTCCCAGCGCTACCAGGTTTTCTGAGATGTAGTGGGTCTGGAACGGGGTCCACTCAGGCTCGTGATGATAATTAAGGAGCTATTTGAAGGAAATAGCGGCTCCGGTTTAGAAAACGAGATTAACGGCCGTGGGGATTCGTTGCGCTGACCATGTGACACCCCATATCCGCGAAAGTTGACACTAACTTCGCTGACAAGCGGCGGCAGCTAGGTCTGTCTAGTTCACTTGCGGACTAAAGGTCACGAAGTTTTTTGTTTTATCCTTGTCAACCGTGACGAGACTTCGCCCTGAATTTTAAACGGGTGTTGCATTAGTATAGCTTTAATACTGTCACGTGTCCGGGGTTCCGCGACTAATAATAACGGATAGTGGATTGAATAATTGGATTTATTGGCACTTCTTTACAATTACAACCAATCATAACATCTCCCAATCAACGACTTCCTTGGACTCGCCTCATTCCTTACTGGACCACGAGTGTCTTCTCTTCTGCTGCGACGAGTGAAGAATCACTGCTCACTCGCGAATGAACTGAACTAACTTTTATAACTTCGCGGCGAACAGTTCCTCCGTTATTCTGTTTTCCTGTGTTTATGTATTGCCACGGGAGCATGCTTACCGAACCATTGCCCAGCAATGGACTATTTCGTGTCTATGATCTGCCGCGGGAACCTGCTTACCGAACCATTGCCCAGCAATGGTCATATTCGTCACAATATTATTTGTTCATATATGTTTAGAATTTTCTCGTGCGTTCTATATGTCCAGTCCATTTAGTCCTTTTTAAATTTGATCACTTCAATAATATTTGCAGAAAAGACCATATTCTGCTAAGCGCGCGTTCACAATACTAATTACTTTCTTCTTTTCGTAGGATAGACCACAATTCACACCCATAATTAACCCCATTCAACTGAATGCTTCTTGAGAAGCTAGTAGTCGCTTAGGCACTCAAGGAATTCCCAGTATTTTACGGGACCCTAAGCTTTATTAGCATGTTCACAAGATACAGCCAGTAGTCCCTATCCTCAGCCAGACGAATCCAATTCTCTCCCTCACATCGCTGTTTATTGTGAGAACCATACGGAACACATAAATACACTTGTGGGCAGAATGCAGAGTTCAGTCCGTACCTCACAGGAAACACATTACGTCTCCGCTACAAAGCCCAACCGGTTAATGCTGTTTAGGGAAATAATCGCTGTTTACTGTGAGAACCATACGGAACACACAAGTACACTGTGTGGGCAGAATAGAAGAATAATTTTAACACTAAAACAACTGATACATATGTCACCTATTGTCTTTATAAAGCACTAACCTAAAAATTGCTAACTCCATGTGATGCGATGTGTGCGTCTCCTCCTCCCTGATTTGGTCAATTCATTATACTTGGAAAGAATACAAATCTTGAAGCTCCTTATTATGTAACTTTCTCCAACCTCTTAACTCTCTCTCCGGTCCGAATATACTCCCTTGACTCTCTTCTGAAACACCTTCATTGTACTTTTCCTTTCAGACCGACAGACAAAGCCTCGTACATATAAAACGAATTCCATGCAACACAGTTCCTTTGAGAAGCCAACAGTGGCTCAGCTAATGAAAAATTGTCCGTCTTTTTAAGATACATAAGGTTCTTTTTTTTTTTTACTTTAATGTTCATTACTAGCTGATAGACTGTCGGCTTCTCAAATAGTATTTGCTCCGTGGACCCTGTTCTCAACACTGAATTTCGTCAGCAGAAATTTTAGTATTATAACAAGTTTTTGAGATCCGTAAAGTACTTATAGTTTTGAATTAAAAAAAGAGAAAATTGCTAGGTGTGGGGTTCGAACCCACAATTCCAGAATTCCCACAGAAACCAGATCTTAAGTCTGGCGCCTTAACCACTCGGTCAACCTAACACTTATTAAAACAATATAGTATTATTAATAATAAATATTATATATGTCCCGATATATCTGAAAGTACAATCGGCTGATTACATGTATAAGAGTGCATATGTCTAATGTGTAACAGTAGTTCCGCCATACACAGAAGATGTCTCTGACATCAGCACAGTACTGCTTTGTTATCTCCGTATATGAGAATGTTAACAAGTTAGGAAATGTACGTGTAGCCCTGCAATTGTGGCGCATCCCTTCACTTTAATTTAATTACCTTGAAGATCGTCATACGCGCAGAGAATAAATTGTGTGTAGGATCTGAGGTGCTCACAGCGGTGGTTATGAAGAGTCCTATCTTCTGGGATATAGCGCTATGTAGGATCTGAGGTGCTCACAGCGGTGGTTATGAAGAGTCCTATCTTCTGGGATATAGCGCTATGTAGGATCTGAGGTGCTCACAGCGGTGGTTATGAAGAGTTCTATCTTCTGGGATGTAGGTCCGTGTAGGAGCTGAGGATCTCACAGCGGTGGTTATGAAGAATTCTATCTTCTGGGGTATAACGCTGAGTAGGATCTGAGGTTCTCACAGCGGTGGTTATGAAGAGTCCTATCTTCTGGGATATAGCGCTATGTAGGATCTGAGGTGCTCACAGCGGTGGTTATGAAGAGTCCTATCTTCTGGGATATAGCGCTATGTAGGATCTGAGGTGCTCACAGCGGTGGTTATGAAGAGTCCTATCTTCTGGGATATAGCGCTATGTAGGATCTGAGGTGCTCACAGCGGTGGTTATGAAGAGTCCTATCTTCTGGGATATAGCGCTATGTAGGATCTGAGGTGCTCACAGCGGTGGTTATGAAGAGTCCTATCTTCTGGGATATAGCGCTATGTAGGATCTGAGGTGCTCACAGCGGTGGTTATGAAGAGTCCTATCTTCTGGGATATAGCGCTATGTAGGATCTGAGGTGCTCACAGCGGTGGTTATGAAGAGTCCTATCTTCTGGGATATAGCGCTATGTAGGATCTGAGGTGCTCACAGCGGTGGTTATGAAGAGTCCTATCTTCTGGGATATAGCGCTATGTAGGATCTGAGGTGCTCACAGCGGTGGTTATGAAGAGTCCTATCTTCTGGGATATAGCGCTATGTAGGATCTGAGGTGCTCACAGCGGTGGTTATGAAGAGTCCTATCTTCTGGGATATAGCGCTATGTAGGATCTGAGGTGCTCACAGCGGTGGTTATGAAGAGTCCTATCTTCTGGGATATAGCGCTATGTAGGATCTGAGGTGCTCACAGCGGTGGTTATGAAGAGTCCTATCTTCTGGGATATAGCGCTATGTAGGATCTGAGGTGCTCACAGCGGTGGTTATGAAGAGTCCTATCTTCTGGGATATAGCGCTATGTAGGATCTGAGGTGCTCACAGCGGTGGTTATGAAGAGTCCTATCTTCTGGGATATAGCGCTATGTAGGATCTGAGGTGCTCACAGCGGTGGTTATGAAGAGTCCTATCTTCTGGGATATAGCGCTATGTAGGATCTGAGGTGCTCACAGCGGTGGTTATGAAGAGTCCTATCTTCTGGGATATAGCGCTATGTAGGATCTGAGGTGCTCACAGCGGTGGTTATGAAGAGTCCTATCTTCTGGGATATAGCGCTATGTAGGATCTGAGGTGCTCACAGCGGTGGTTATGAAGAGTCCTATCTTCTGGGATATAGCGCTATGTAGGATCTGAGGTGCTCACAGCGGTGGTTATGAAGAGTCCTATCTTCTGGGATATAGCGCTATGTAGGATCTGAGGTGCTCACAGCGGTGGTTATGAAGAGTCCTATCTTCTGGGATATAGCGCTATGTAGGATCTGAGGTGCTCACAGCGGTGGTTATGAAGAGTTCTATCTTCTGGGATGTAGGTCCGTGTAGGAGCTGAGGATCTCACAGCAGTGGTTATGAAGAATTCTATCTTCTGGGGTATAACGCTGAGTAGGATCTGAGGTTCTCACAGCGGTGATTATGAAGAGTTCTGTCTTCTGGTATATAGCGCCGTCTAGGATCTCAGTTCTCACAGCCGTAGTTATGAAGAGTTCTGTCTTCTGGGATATAGCGCCGTGTGGGATCTGAGGTTCTCACAGCGGTGGTTATGAAGTGTTCTGTCCTGCTTGCTACTTGTTTCAGGTTGGTCTTTTATTTGGCTAATTTTTCGACCCTGAAGCTTGAGACGACGTGTTCCTCCGAACCGTTGGTTGACTCTCAATGGATTACATGGCGTTATGTCCCAGGAAACAGAACTCGTAATTAACTTTGTAGGCAATAGAAAGTATTACGGATTTTCCGCTGAAATTTTGTTCGAAAAATTTTGCTCAGTGTGTTACGCGCAATCTGCATGCGGAAAGATTTGGAGGGCCCGTCACTGCTGGCCGATTTTGACCAAAATCTGAATATGCTCGCGATTTTGATAAAAGTCCGGAATATAAAGTTTTTAGCGGCTTCGGACTTGCCATATGTGAGTAAAGAGAAACAGAGATTGACACTTAGACAGACATTGTGAATTCCTGGATATTTTCCTTGGCCAGCGCACCAGAAAGTGCACGACTTCCGTAATTAAATATTAGGGGTTGTACTTCTAATAAATATATTGGCCATATTCCATAAATTATTATTAGTTCCAGGTAGTACAATCCTTCCTGAGAAGCTAACAATCGCTAACCGTGTCCAGAAATTCCCCGCCTTTTATGGAACTCGATGGTTGATTATCGTGTTCACAACAGCCCGTCCATGAGAGTCAGTGCTCAGGTTGCAATTTTAACCCAGAACATCCTGCATATGGAACATGCCATCCACTCCGCTAGTCGGTTCGGTTGGTTCCAGTATCAAGAATCCGAAGAAAATAGAGCAGCTTTCTCCCTGAAAATCTGAAAGTCACTCAGACAGGCAAGAAACACCTCACGTCTTATGAAACAGAAGAATCTTTGCTGTGCTCACAATTGTCCATCACTGGACACTAGCCTACCTCTACTGATTTCAGTAGTCTGTCGAAAAGGGAGCTGAGCACGGGGGTGATAGCGTCGCCTGGCCTGCGCGCGNACAGATGTTTTGAAAATGTGGCATAGTTCATATATTTGGGAACGATGATAACAAATCAAATCCTGATTTAGGAGGAAATTAGGAGATTGAACTCGGGTAATGCTTGCTACCATTCAGTCCAGAACCTTTTGTCTTCTCGTCTGCTGACCAAAAACATACATATTAGAATATACAAAACTATAATTTTGCCTGTGGTTCTGTATGGACGTGAAACTTGGTCTTTAACATTAAGGGAGGAAAACAAACTGAGGGTGTTTGAGAACAGGGTGCTGAGGGGAATTGTTGGACTGAAGAGAGATGAAGTGACAGGAGGCTGGAGAAAACTGCATAATGAGGAGCTCCCTAAGTTTTAGTCTTCTCGAAGCATAATTAGAATGATAAAGTTAAGGAAGATGAGATGGGCAGAGAATGTAGCACGAATGGGGGAGAAGAGAAATGCATGTATGATACTGAGGAAAGCCAGAAGGAAAAAAACACTAATAAGACCAAGGCGCAGGTGGGTGGATTATGTTAAAATGGATCTTAGAGAGATAGGATTGAGTGGTATGGATTGGATTGATCTGGTCGGGATGAGAATGGATGGAAGGCTCTGTTACACCTCAGGGGGAGGGGGTGAGAACTTATAATCACTTTCGTCTGTTATTCTCTTTCGCTAACATCTATGTTGCACTCGGCTGCCGTCGGCGGTCTTGGCTAGGGGAGCTCGGGCTGGGTTGAGGACAGGATGGTTACTAATGGGCGAATCAGAACTCCCTGCGTACATTCTCCACTATGTACACTTGTCTATTTACAATCATAAATACATTAATAAAAAGGCCTGCTCTTATCCGTTACATGACATATCTCGCTGCACTCATTCTACCGTCCTAGTTGTGAAGGGGAGGTGCCTGAACTGCACTCCTATCATCGTCTGCTACTGTACATACATTCCTACCCTGTTCTACCCTGACTCTCACTTGGTTCACTGGATACTGCCTCATTATCTCACAATAACACTGGAATTAACACAACCTTTAATAGCATGGCGTATATGAGCAAAAAGACGTACTTGCAAGACAAATGTAGATTACTGCCGTTGTCCACCCTCTTATGGAATACATGTCGTCGAGAGCCTCCGGCTGACAACTCAATATTCTGTTAGAACATGCTCTCAAGTCCCCCGAAATTCCCTAATTTATGGTTTTATTTCGCTGATTCAGCCTCGCCGAAAGAGGGTGGGTGACTCCCCCCTCAGTGTCCTCCATCCTCATAATAACCTCCTCATTGGCTCTCATGGGTGGTTGGGCGGACCCCTTGCGTCTAATTGCAGCGTAAGCAGTCTCTTGCAATTGAATCCAGGTTACGAGTGAGGTAAGCTACTGGCTTTGTGATTACATAGACCTGCTGACTTTACATTCTTCACCGAATTGCCAGTCCTAGTGTTTACAATTTACTGTAATAGCTGCGAAACTCTTTTCGCAAGTCTCTGGCTTTTTTGGGTCATACCATCCTCTTTCTAATCTCAATTTTGGGGCATAACAGGCTCTTGTGAACAGGGTAATGAACCTTCGGGTTCCATAAAATGCTGGGAACCTCTAGAGTGGCTGCACAACTGGCGGCTTCTCGAGAAGGACTCAGCTTCGTGAAGTTAGTGTGTGTATGCGAGCGTTCGTGTGTGTGCATACAGAGAGAGAGAGAGAAAAGACGGAGGCAAGCCAAGCTGACTGCGTGGAATTCCGCATGGAATTTATCCAGGGCCTATGCTTCCCGCTATGAAGGTTCTTAGGCAGTGCACGTTCGTCCTCCTGTTAAATGTAAGCCAAGAGAAAATAAAAGCAGTAAGAGGCGGAGAGTGTAAAACAGTTGGAAGTGGATTTTGCTATAAGCAGGGAAATAAACTGTGCAGTCTGATAGGAACACTAGGAGGGCATTACTGTCGAGGAATTTTGATGTCTGGTTTCCT